AGATTAACAATATTGCATTAAAATTAACTTACTGATTTTGACAATCATACCATGGTAACGTTAACATTAAGGGAAGCTGGGTGAAGGGTATATGAGAATTCTCTGTCATATTTCTGCAACTTTTCTGTAAGTTTAAAATTATCCCAAAAAAATCTCCCAAAAGTAACATATAATCAAATATATATGGAGTGCTTGGCCAGGAAATTATAATGTAAAATATAACCTTATAAGTAACAGCTGATTGGACTAGGGGCTTCTAAGAATGTCCACAAGAAAGATTAGAAAATGTCAATCAATAAATGTGTCCTCAGCAAGTACTCAAATGCAGTATATCCTATGTTTTAGGTACCAAAGGGCCCATTACAGAAAGTGTTCAAATAACATTATTTTGTTATAAAGTTGATGAGAATTTTTAAAAAATGATTCCTAGGTGGGGCCACCGTCTGTGTGGAGTTTGCACGTGCTCCTGACGTCTGCGTGAACTTTCTCCCAGTACCCTGCTTTCCTTCCGCATCTCAGTGACGTACGTGTGAGCAGAACTAGGATGTCTAAACGGTCCCAGTGTGAGTATGGGAGTGTGTGTGAGTGTGTCCCATGCTGGGATGGCTTCACACCTTGCAGCCTGAGCTGCCAGAGGCCACTCACAATCCTAAACTGGAATAAGCGGGTTGGTAAATAAATGAATGAATAAGTGAATAAATGCATGAATACAAATTACAGTAAAACAAAAATTCATAAATCTATGATAATCATACATACAAATGACAATAAAGATGCGGTATACAAGTGCTCAGCAAGCTCACCACATTTGTTATTATTTGCTTTTTGTGTTTTGTTTTTAGAGACAGGGTCTAACTCCTATGGCTCAGGCTGGACTGCAGTGGCACGTTCCTAACTCACTGCAGCCTCAAACTCCCAGGCTTAAGCAATCTTCTCACCTCAGCATCCTGAGCTGCTGGGACTACAGGCATGTGCCACCACAGCTGGCTAATTTTTAAATTTTTTTGTAGAGACAGGGTCTCGCTCTGTTGAACAGGCTATTGTTTGCTTTTGAACACATGGTGGTAAGAGGTGCTTCTCACAAATTTCACTTTGCAAAGACATACTCTCAGATTTAACCCACCACCACTATGATCACCATCACTCACTGATTCACCAAAAATTGGGTGAATAATTATCTTGTTTAAGCTCACGTTAATTTCAGTGTTTAATATTAGATGTGTTTTGAGTCTTTATTTAGAAGTATTATGACCAGAAAGATGCTATAGGAACTTAATTCTTGTTTATAACAATTAGCATATGGTAAAATTGCTCTCATTATACATTGTTTCACTTAAAGTTGCAGTCTCCAAAGCCCCACTGAAGACATTAAATGATGACTTACTGTACGGTAAAACTGTAGAAACGAACAGAACAGAATGAGGGTGAACTTTGGAGTTGTAAGATAGCACAGATCACTAAATCCTACTCCTTCATTTTAAAGTGAAGGATTCTGTGAGCAAGTAAAACACAGGGACTTGAAAAGACATAATTTTGTAACTTCAGTGAAAACAAGCCATGAAGAAGTGAGGCTATCCCAGAATTCAGAGTAAGAGGAAAAATTAAGCTGGAGAAAAAATTAAGCTACATCTTCACCTCTCAGCATTTACTAAACTAAATTTCAGCCAGAAAGATTTAAAAATTCAGAATAAAAAACAAAGCCATAAAGCACCTAAAAGAAAATTTAGGTGAAATATTTTTTTCTTTCATATATTAGGATAGAAAAGAACTTCCGAAGTATAAAGGCAAAAATGTCAGAAAAAAAAAAGCATACATTGAAAAGTTAACCACATCCAAAGCAGAACAACATTTAAAATCAAACAACTCAGAAAATATATGCAACAAATATGGCATATATAGGACCAACGTCCTGAACATATGCAGATCAATAAGTAATAAATCAATAAACAATAACAACAAACATGCCAACAGAAAATTAGGCAAAGGATACCAAATAGGGTATTTCAAAAGAAAATTAAATGGTCAAAAAAATTTGCAAACAGGTACAATCTATAATAATTTTTAAAATGCTAACAAGATGTCATTCTTGATTGAACATATTAAAGATTAAATAATGACTCCCCTCCATACTGGAAAAGTTGCAGAGACAGACACTCCCATGCTCTGCTAGTAAAAAGACTAGTACAATTTTTTTAAATTTGTCAATATACATCAAAACCCTTGAAAACATAATTATCCTTTGATTTGAATTAGCTATTGATTGTCAAAGTATCGCTGTGGACTTAGAGTCCCTGAGACCCTCTCACAGGTCTCCAGGGTCAAACCACTCTTTTTATAAAAATAGCAAGACATTATTTGCCTTTTGCTCTATATTCACATTTGGACTTATGGTACAAAAACGATGGTGGGTAAAACTGCCAGCTCCTGAGCATAAATCAAGGCACCAATCAAGGCACCATAACTGTACTAGTAGTCACTGTATTTACTGCCACACATGTGCAGGAAAAAAAAAAAAAAAGACTTTCACTTAAGTTTATTCACTTATTAATTGCACTAAATCTCAACCCTTGAATACACAACCTTTTAACATTCTGTATGACTGGAGTAAATACAAAGCACATATACTTCTTATCAAAGTATGATGGTTGACTCCCAGGAAAGCACTTGTATGATTGTTTGAGAGCTGAACTAGCTACTTTTTCTACGGAACACCATTTTTACTTGAATGAATGATAACCAAGTACAATTATTCAGATTTAAGTATCTGGCAGACATTTTCTCAAAAATAAACAACGTGAGCCTGTCATTTCAAGGAAAACAACTGATAGCATTTGTTGTTAATGATAAAATTTGAGATTTCAAGGGAAAATTCACATACTGGAATGCTCATATCCATCACCACAAGCTTGACAGCTTCAAATCTTACAGACTCCTAGAGATGATATTAACAAATGTAATTTTTTGATATTGTACAATGAAAGGTGACAACATTTGGAAGATCTGCATAACTCATAAGCAACATTTTACAAAGGAATAATGCATGATAACAAATCAGGCGTGGGTAAAAGATCCATTCAAAGTTCAAAATAGGCCAATGGATTATCATATAGTAAGGTAACAATCACCTTGATATGGTGATTCACCCATCTCGGCCTCTGCAGTAGCTGAGTGTCTGGGTCTAAAGGCACATGCCACCACACCCAGCTACTTTTCTGGATTTTTATTAGAGACAGGGTTTTGCTATGTTGCCCAGTCTGATCTTGAACTCCTGGCCTCAAGCGATCCTCCCGTCTTGGCCTCCCAAAGCACTGGGATTACAGGTGTGAGCCACCACACCCACCCCTAAATAGCTCTTTAATCCCTTCTTTTGTGGATTAGTAGTTCAGCTCTCTCTAAATAAACTTTCCTGTGGAAGGAGAGTTAGTTATTTATTCCCTGTATGGCATTTGGGAGAAGTGAAAAAGATTTGAGTATATCATGAATAAGAAAGAAAAGAGCATAAGAGAATACGCCAGACAGCATGGTGTCCCACAGGAAGAGAACCTTTCATAAGTGTTGATAAAGTAACAGACACTTACTTATTATGTAGACAAGCTATTTGCTGGAGAAAAGAAAGAAAAAGAGAAAAAGACGGAGAGGAAGAGAAAGAAAAGCAAAATTGCAAGTGATTGCACACATAGTGAGAGGAGAATATCAAAATGTATGCTTTCTCTTAAAACTGCCCAGAAAAATCTACCTATTCCCTTGGCTGACTAGTCTTTACTCACTTCACTGTTCATGTGCAGAACTGGCAAGAGTTAATGACAGAAAATTAAATTATATGTCAATTTTGTTCCTTCTTAGCAAGTCTGATAAAATACTAAAAGCTATAAACGGATAAATATTGCCCTAAATCAAATCTGGATAATATTGGAAAGAGACTCCTTCATTTTACAGACTAGGAAAACCAAGTCCTTCAAAAAGTGAAGTCATAACAGAACTCAAACTTATGCTTCAATTTGTACTTTAATACGTATTATCCAATAACCTCTCTTTCCTCAAGAAATTACTTCTGTGGTGATGTTTGCTTGGGGGCTGAATACGTCAAGGATGGGGAAGCTCTCCATTAGGGATAACCATGCTCAGCGCCACAAAACTAAACGGTACAGGTTTGGATTTGGTTTTTCATTAGGAAAAAAGTTTAAAAAAAAATTATCTGCTTTTTAACACAACATAAATACAGTGACCTGGTTGCCCTCAACTGGTTCCTCATGTAATGTTTGGGTCTCAGTTTCCACTTCATTAAAATTAGAAATCTGTATCATTCCCAAAGTCCTTTCTTAGAAAGTTGGATAATTCTAAAATCGCTGAAAAAAGAAGTGTTTGGGGGAGGACGGAAGTATGAAATACATCCGGAATGTGTGTCTATATAATATATATGGAGAAACTTCAGATCTGGTTGTTCAAATGGCCAAAGACCCAAGAGTGGAATCCCTGGGGTACCCTGCTCTCTGATTGGATTGAAAACCCCTGAGGTCACTTAATTCCACAGTCAACAACACAAGCCACAGTCAAACAGTATGAAGCCGCTTTACCCCTATGCTCCCTTGTTTGTTTCCAGTGGCCAATTGAAAAGGGTTCTCCATTTCCTCCTTTCGAATCTACAATTCATATTCCCACCCATCATTCATTCCTAGTATTTGTCAGTTAACCTCTGGTCATTTATGAAGCACCTACCATGTGCACCCATCACCTAGCACATACCACGTCTTCTATAAATATCTGTTGACTTGAATTTAATTGCAAGGCCTTGGGAGGCTGCCATGAACTCATCGTTAAGAGTTTTGTGCGGAAGGCGAGTGAAAGAAGAAACCTTTTTTCGCCAACCTTGGCCTCCTAACGCCTGACACTAGAGTTCCTCCCCACTAATGTGTGACACGTGGTTCCTAAGCGCTGCCTGGGCGGCCCAGGCACTGCTGCTGCAGGGAAAGGGCTGTGAGAGGGGAGAGATGGACACTTACCTGGGAAACCTCTGCTTCAGCTTCCTCAGGCTCTGCCTGGTGGGCGGCACAGACACTAGGCACTGGGCTATCTCCTCGTACTGAGCTTTGGTCAGTATCATGTTGGGCCAGGGACCAGGAGGTGGCGGGAACAAGGAAAAAACACCCAGGGGCTCGAGTAGCCTTGGTGCCGAGGGATGAGGGATAGGCAAACAGCGGCACAGGCCCGGGTCCTCGCCTGCTCGGTTTGCCCCAATCCCCCCTGAAACACACCCCTAGCTGCAAAAGCGGGGCGGACACTCGCCCGGTCTCAAGCTCCACCGGCACCTCCGCGGCGGGGGCGGGCTGTACACCGGAGTGCCAGTGCTTGGCTTACTGAGCAGCCGCAGTGGGTGCGGCCGAAGGCAGCTAGCCGCCATGTCAGTTAAGGGCAAACCAACCAGGAAGTAGCAGCCACCCTTGGAAAGGCGCCGCGCCAGAGTTTCAGCTGGCAGATAGGTATCCCAGGCATCGCCCACCTGGGATCAAAGGATTAACAAGGAATGCTTTGTACTCTCCCAATTACTAGAAGCCAGGGCGGCCTGACGCACAGACCAGGAGGCAGGTCTCATGAGTGCCCCGCGATCCTTCAGCGTGAGCCCCCGAAAGCCCCTGCCGGAGCGCGCGATTTGAATACACTTCCTAACGCGCCAGTTTGAGCGCTCCTCGGAGACCGGCCTGCCGAGAAACCACGTCTTCACTCCACCAAGTCTGTCATGGGTCGAGCGACTCACTAGGGTCGCTGTAAACATAGTTTAGCTTGTGTTGAGGAAGTCCTACAACTTCTCTACATCGCGTGGAAGGCAGTTTTGTCCTTGTTGAGAAGCAGACTTGAAACAAATCCGACGTCATCAAACAGCTGGCAGTAAAGAATGTCACTTTCACTCCTTGCAGTGAGCTGCTTAAGGACTAAAATCACATCTTATTGTCTTTGTAATCCAATTCTCAGAAAATAGTAGGCGCTCAATAAATGTTTGGAGTAATGAGCCAATCTTTTTTTGTTTTCCATATATATTATGAATGGATCTCAGTTCTCCTAAAGCAATTTATTGGGATATCAGTCCCTCCTGTAATCTCTTTTCTGAAATTTCTTTGGTTCTTAGAAGGTCGTGTGTTGTGTTTCTCTTCTGATTTCAACAAGTTAAGCAAATGAAAGCAAAGGTGCTTAGACTTTAGAGAACCTGTAAGTGGTTTAAAATTTTTCACCTGGATTAATGCCTGGGTTGGAAGTTTTAGATACACCTCCTTGAATAAATTCCTTAATCCATCGAAGCCTCATTTCTTTTGTCTGTAAAACTGATTTAATTCATGGGGGTGTTTTATCTGTGTATGTTTGATTTAGAGATGGGGTCTTACTCTGCCGCCCAGGCTGGAGTGCAGTGGCTCCATCATGGCTCACTGCACCCTCGAACTCCTGGGCTCCAGCAATCTTCCCACCTCAGCCTCCCGAGTAGTTGGGACTACAGGCACATGCCACGACACCTGGCTAATTTTTAAAATTTTCTCTAGAGATGAAGTCTTCCTCTATTGACCAGGCTAGTCTCAAAACTCCTGACCGAAAGTGATGCTCCAGCCTCTACCTCCCACAGTGCTAGGATTACAGGCACGAGCCACTTCGCCCGGGCATGGGCTATTTTTAAGATTAATAGGCGAATACAAATAAAAGATCACATAGCGTGATGTCTAGAAGACAGTCCATGTGAAATATTAGGTTGGTGCAAAAGTAACTGCAGTTTTGGCTATAAATAAATAGACTAAGTAAGACTACTTGATAAAAATGGACAGGGTGTTTACTAGGTATTGTTTTACAGGCTCCCCATGCACAGACTCGCTTAATCCTCATAACTTCCTGCGAGGCAGGTACTATTGCTATTATCTTCCTCTTCCCTTTTGTACAGAGTGAATAAACAAAGACATAAAAAGGTTAAGGAACTTCTAGAGGTCATGAGGATAAGTAGCAGTAGTAAGATTTAAACTCCTGAAATTTGGTTCCAGTGTCAGTGCTCTTGCCAACTTTCAGTAATGCTTAATTACTACATCAAACAGTCACACTGTCTTAAGCCAAAGGTTAAGGATTTTTTTTTAAAGGGAATATTGTACATTTCAAAGAATCTTTTAGCCTGGGTTTTTAAAAACTTTACTACTTTTAACTTTCTGAGACATCTCAAAGTCCGATACCAACAGTGGATCCTGAATTGAACAACCAGAGTTTTTCCTGAATATTTACATCAGAATGTTTTCTTCCCATATGCTTTGCATCTAGCTCTGATTGTGTGACATTAGTACATAACTATTTATTTATGGCAGCGTGGCCTGGAGTTGCCACCTGGCTAGTTTGTTGCTGACCCTGCCATGACTTTTACATGAAAGCTAGCTGACGATAAGCAGACACCACTTGATCCTCATTCCTTTCCCCTTCCCAACTTTACTCTTTCCTTCACAGCCATCAGATTTTTATAGAAAACATCAGTTCAAGGATGTTTGCACCGGTTATGTTTTTAATTTTTTTATTTCTTCTAAAACAAAAACAAGAAAAAGGGACACATGTGCGGAACGTGCGGGTTTGTTACCTAGAGTATACACGTGCCATGGCGGTTTGCTGCACCTATTGACTCATCCTCTAAGTTCCCTCCCCTCACCCCCCACCCCCCCTACAGGCCCTGGTGGGTTACACCAGTTATTTTTACAGCAGCTCTTCTCTCTGGCTCTTGTCCTGCATTTACCATCACAACCCTTCAGAAAAATGCCAGGGTTGTTTTTCTGTTTTTATTTTTAACATGTTGACAGTTTATAATTTTGACCCAAATCCAGTAGATTGTTTAGAATTAGTGCTGGGAAAAAAAACCACAGTTATGTTGCTGTTTTCACCGGCAGTGACAGTAATGTTGTTTATTAGGCACAAAATAGAAGCAAAAAAAGCAGAAAATTTCTAGTTGTTGTTTAGGTTTTTTTTGTTTTTTTCTTGTAATGTAAAATGGCTAGAATAAGCTGATTATTCCTCTAAGGCATCTTTTCTCCCTCCCTTAGCCTCCTCCAGCTTGCTGCCATCTCTCATCATATCCCATGCCCCTCATCTACTGCTGTTACTTCTTCTAGAGCTGCCTCTCCATTCCTGAAGTTCCCCACTGTTTCTTAGTTAGCCAGCAATACCATTTCCCCACTAAATGGGGTAGAATCATGAAATGAAAACACAAAACTAAAAACCCAAAGAACTGGCTACCTGTTTAAAATCAGCCATAAAATGTGTGGCCTTTAGCAACGGATAGCCTAATTCTGAATGTCCTCCGTGGGAGAAAGAATCTAAAAATATGGAAAAGGTAGAGGAAATCAGCAAGAAACTGTGTCAAAGTGGGGACCAGTGCAGCTCCCTGGAAGAACCTGTAGTCCTGGATGGACTGGAGTGAAGCCCTTCACTAGATTTCTTTCTGCCAATTTTTGGATGACATGACTGTTGAACAACTTTAAAGGAGTATGGAGTTTGGCAGGGAAGCATCTGAAGGTCATTGCAAGAAGGGTACTAACACAAAAGACTAAAAGTGGGAATGAGCCAGTCACATGCATGGGGAAGTTACTCTGGTCGGAGCGAAGAGTTCCAGGCAGAGTAAAAGGAGTCGAGGATGTTTGACCTTGGAAAGAGTTAAGTCATGTTTTCAAACAGACTGTTGTTCACTGAGTCTGCCAGATCCAGTGCATGTTTTTAAAAAATAAATACTGACATGTTGTTTTTATATATTGTAAAATCGGATTCTTTTGATGGAGTCTCCAAGTTATCACATGGATTTAAAAAAATAATTGAAGTTTATTAACTGGATAGAGAAAAAGAAGGGAGCTAATATTATTTGAGCCCCTATTATGCACAGTCATTATCCTATTATACCTTATCTCACTTAATCTTCACAATGACCCTATGCTGTAGAGTTTATAGTCCCTGATTTACAGATTAGGAAACTGAGACTCAAAGACAGTAAGGACTTACATGATGGGTCCAACTACTAAGTTGCAAAACCATGATTTGAACCCAAGTTACTCTTATTATAAAGCCTCATGTTCTCTATTGCACTGTATTGTATTGTGTATATTGTATTGTAGTTCAAAAATGATTTAGAAAACTTTGGTTGAATTACCCTCAGTGAAGCATTTATTCTGTGAAACGGCCTGAAATAGCTGGCTGCTTCTTTGGCTACCAGATGCCTGTTAAAGGGGCAATAACCTTCAATTTTGACATGTAGCCAAAACACACTTTGAAAAATATTGTTTGGCCACTTTGACTAAAAAAAAAATGTTATATTTTTTGCTTTGTACAATGGGCCACCACCTTAAGTAATATATCTCTTGAAACCACAGGTTATGTCTCTGTACTTGCCATCCTTGAATGACAAGTCATTTTTATGCTGGCCCCCAAATAATACAAGCTCCTAGCAAGTAATAAAGATCAGAAAAATTCAGTTATTTAGGCCTGCAGCAATTACTCAATGTAACGACTTAAGGAAAACAAAGGAAACCTGTGATGGGATGGGAGGATGTCCTACACTGTGATGATGAAGTAGTTATGCTAAAAGGTCAGGGAAGACCAGAAGCCAAATATTGGTCCCTTCATGCAAGTCAATGGTAAACGAACTCTTCATCTGTGAAATCAGTTGGTCTGATAACAGATCACGTGTAGATGTAGGATTTCATTGAAAGGCCATTGCAAACAGAAACTATGTCTCATGTGCACATAATGGCACCTCCTCAAGCCTTTGTTGTTCAATATTACTAAGAACTAATGTTTTGGAGGAATAGTGCTAAGCACCTTACATACATATATCTTCCTTTAAGTCTCAGACCCAGCCCCAGGAGGTAAGTACTATTGTTACATCCACTTTCCAGGTTAGAATACTACAGTGTAGAAGTGGCTTTTATTTAACTCATCAGTTATTTTATAACATTCTAGAATAGTGTTTATCAAAGTATCTCTTTTGAGGTCCTAGTTTTTCCCCAATTTGTCATGGATGGACAAATTTGTAAAATAAGAAATGAATTAGTCAAAGCACGAAATTTAAAAAGACACATATAAAATGTAAGCCCCCAATTTGTTAGGAGATCCTATAGACATGCAATTACTTGACAAATTAACATAAAAGATTCTAAAGGGTTATTTTCACTTTCTCTACTTAGTGCATCATGACATGTAACAAAAAGTTTGAGGACCAGTGCTGGTTTGCTCACCACATTTTGAGTAGCACTGTCTTACAAAGTCAATATTGTAAGCCAGCTATGTGCAAAGGCCAAGGGCTTATTCCAAAGTCTAGAACATCACATTTTTCATGTTCCCTTAGAAGAGGAGTGTAAGACCTGT